TTGCCTTCCCAAATCCTTTATTTATTTATTTATTATTATTTTTTTCTTGACAGGCAGAATGGACAGTGAGAGAGAGACAGAGAGAAAGGTCTTCCTTTGCCATTGGTTCAGCCTCCAATGGCCGCCGCGGCCAGCGCACCACGCTGATCCGATGGCAGGAGCCAGGTGCTTTTCCTGGTCTCCCATGGGGTGCAGGGCCCAAGCACTTGGGCCATCCTCCACTGCACTCCCTGGCCACAGCAGAGAGCTGGCCTGGAAGAGGGGCAACTGGGACAGAATCCGGCGCCCCGACACGGAGGATTAGCCTATTGAGCTGTGGCGCCGGCCGCCAAATCCTTGATAGGAATGACGGAGGTCAAAGCATGGTGCTGCTGAAGAGTAAGTGGGGAGAAAGGAGAGCTGGGTTCTAGGCCTAGCTCTACTTCTGCCCATTTTCCTTCTTTCACAATACAAAAACTTACGAATCTACTCTGTATTGCGGTTTGGATAACTCTGGATGCTCTCCAAAGGCCCAGGTATTGGGGGCTTGGTCCCCAAAGTATTAGTTTGATGATTAATGATTAATACATTGTTAGTGGCTAATGGATTAAGGTTGGAGACTTGATCTAATTATGGTATCTGGGAGGTGGGCCCCATGGGAGGGAACTCTTCAGATCCCTGGAGGCTTGTGCTCGGAAGGCAGTTTTGGAGAGAAGGTTGGTTGGACAAGCCAAGTGTGCTTCCTGTCTTGCCACAGGATCTCTTCCTAGAGTGTCCTACCTACATCAGATACCAGGCTAATGGGCCATCCAATCTTGGAACTAGGAATCTCCAGAACTGTAAGCCAAAATAAAAATAAACCTTCCTTGGTTTTTTTTTTTTTTTTTTTTTTTTTTGACAGGCAGAGTGGATAGTGAGAGAGAGAGACAGAGAAAGATCTTCCTTTTGCCGTTGGTTCACCCTCCAATGGCCGCCACGGCTGGCGCGCTGAGGCCGGCGCACCGCACTGATCCGAAGGCAAGAGCCAGGTGCTTCTCCTGGTCTCCCATGGGGTGCAGGGCCCAAGCACTTGGGCCATCCTCCACTGCACTCCCGGGCCACAGCAGAGAGCTGGCCTGGAAGAGGGGCAACCGGGAAAGAATCCGGCACCCCTACCGGGACTAGAACCTGGTGTGCCGGCGCTGCTAGGTGGAGGATTAGCCTAGTGAGCTGCGGCGCCGGCCACCTTCCTTTCTTAAGAGGCTCCTCTCAGGCGTTTGAATCAAAAGCTGACTACCACACTTTGCTGGGTCATCGAGAGAAGAGACATAGAACTGAACAAAGATTAAATTCCCATTCAGACTCCGTTGATCAAGAATCACTGTGCATTAGAGCCAGCATTGTGCATTGTAGGTAAAGCTGCCACCTACAGTGCCAGCTTCCTATATTCTGTGAAATATTTGCTGGGTACCTACTCTGTATATGCACTGGTCTGGACACTGAGAAACAGGAATGAACAGAAAGACATTTTTGCATCCCGACACTTAAAATCCAGTAGGAGAGTCAACACTAAGTAAACACAGTAACTTCCCATGGTGATATAAGCAATAAAGAACATAAACGAGGGTACCTGGCTCCACTGCAGAGGAAGCATGGTGGGGTGTTAAAGGACACTGCCCTGTTCCAGGTAGGCAGCAGGGGCTGTTAGGAAGATGAGAGGCAGATCTCGCAGGCGCAGATTTCTGGGTCCAGTTCCAAAGCCACAACTATCTAGCTATACGGATCGTAGGCAACTGACTTGGACTTTTTGGGCCTTCATTTAATCATCCATGAAATAGGAAAATCACCATTGCAACCTGCCTTAGAATTGTTAGGAAAACCAAATGAGATCACAGAGGTAAGAAAGTCACTACACAGAGACACAACACAGTGACAGAACCACTAGATTGCAGTTTACCTGCGGAGGCTGTGGAGTGCAGCGGCTGTGCATTAACAGACTGCTGTATCACTATCACTAATGTCTCAGGCATTCTGAACGGCCAGCCAGTTTTGGCAACACGATCATTTTGGTGTTGCTGTCATACCTTGGATGGTGACAGGCACTCTGCCTGAGGAAGATGTAGGACCTGTAACACTCTTGAAACCAATCACACGAGTCCACAGCCCTGAAAACCGGCTTGCTAGTAATCAGTTAGCTAATTTAAGATGGTAAACCCTTGCACAAATGTGATTACAGACTGTGATAATGCCTATAATGCTAGCTATTATTTCACTAATTAGCTATAATCTGTGTATCATATAAAAATGATTTAGCTATGACTACAAATTAAACAATTACTTTCTTAAGTCAAATATATAAAGTCAGAAAAATCCGTAAGATTACTCAAACCACAAATTAAAGATAAGTGAAAATAGATGGTTAAGGAAGTCTCATTTCTGAAACCCATTCTCATAAAAAAATACTCACTGAGGGGAGCAAGCAGGACTGTGGTTTGTGATCACAGGAACTGTGGGTAATTTTCAAGGAGTACTGGTGGAACAAGCTCCTAAAGGAGCCATCTTGTATGAAATGCACTGGACTTAACAGAATCCTACCTTTCTATTCAAATGATCTTACCACCGCACCCACCCAATAGAAAGCACAACTGGATCCAAGAATGTGTATACTGAGCACAGGGATGAGGAAATAGAGACAGAGGAGTAGGACCATTGTTTTCCTTTCTCTGGTACAAAAGTGAGCTGCTTTTCTTTTATTTAAAAAATGCTTAGAAGTAAGAATTTAGCTTTAAATATGCAGATGAGTTAGGAAGAATTGAAATACAGTATGTAAGAATGCCTGAAATTTGGGGCTGGCGCTGTGGCATGGCGGGTAAGGCCGCTGTCTGCAGTGCTGGCATCCCTTATGGGCACTGGTTCAAGTCCCAACTGCTCCACTTCTGATCCAGCTCTCTGCTATGGTCTGGAAAAGCAGTGGAAGATGGCCCAAGTCCTTGAACCCCTGCACTCACATGGGAGACCCAGAGGAGGCTCCTGGCTTCTGGCTTCAGATTGGTGCAGCTCTAGCCATTACGGCCAGTTGGGGAGTGAACCAACGGATGGAAGACCTCTCTCTCTCTCTCTGCCTATCTCTGCCTTTCAAATAAATAAATAAATAAATCTTAAAAAAAAAAAAGCCTGAAATTAACCAACAGAATACACCTGAAGGTCTATTCATACCAGCATTTCAGACAGAAAATTTCTAGAAGGCAGAGAATGCATCTGTAGCTAGCAGCAGTGCAAGCTAAGTATACATGTGAAGATGAAGCTCCATACCTCCAGGAAAAAGATGCTGACCTACTCTGGCTGATACCCTCAGCCACAATTATCTTCAGGGACCACGACAATGTCTGGCAACCACCAAAATTAACAAGGTCCACACAAAGCCCACGTTCTCAGACATACTGCTTGCTGTCAGTTACTCCCTCAAAAAGACAAATTAATGTCTCCAGCAGGTAACAAAATAAACTACTTGTGCCTCAATCTAGATTACTTCTTGAAGGAATGGGATAAAGTCATGCATAAACATAGTACACAGAGCAGAAAATTCTCCTGGATCCTCAACTGAGCTGTTGCCATGTGAGGACTCACACGTTAAATACAATACTTCTTGGGGCTGATGCTGTGCACAGCAGTTTAAGCTGTTGTCTGTAGAGCCAGCATCCCATATGGGCACTGGTTTGTGTTCCAGCTGCTCCTCTTCTGATCCAGCTCTCTGCTTATGGCCTGGGAAAGCAGCAGAAAATGGCCTAAGTGCTTGGACCCCTGCATCCACGTTGGAGACCAGAAGAAGCTCCTGCCGTTGTGGCCATTTGGGGAGTGAACCAGTGGATGGAAGACCTCTCTCTGCCTCTCCCTCTCTGTAAATCAGCCTTTTAAATAAATAAATAAATCTTTAAAAAATATATATATATATCTTATGCTTCTTGATTTTCAACATGCTGAAAAAAAACAGAAATCTGAACCAGCAAGTAACAAAGGCCACAGCACAAAATTTATTGAAATTATTTACTAAATAATTCATACATATCCAACATTACTGAAACGAAATAATGTTAATTTTTTTAAAATAGCAAGAATCAAATTAGGGTCTTTCAAGAAACTCAAAAACTTCTTTGTAACTATATCTTTAACAAATGGAATGACCAAACTAGCAAAGTCGGATGTATCTCAATCAACTCCAACATTCAATATTGCCAACATGTTTTTCTACTTAAAAGCAAAAAAAAAAAAAAAAAAAAGGCAAAGCCTCATAATTTAGTAATTACCATGTTTCTTGGTTTCTGGTCTCAATGCCACAGAAAGATATCTGCTGAAAGCACCTAGTACCAGCAGTCTTCTTCAGAACGTTAAGGTTGTTCTCACATCAGTGTAAATATTTAGACTCCCATCTGACAGACTGCCTCACTCACGTGAGTAGGAATGCTCTCAGAACCTTAGTCTTTACTCTTGCTTCATGCTATGGCTGCTTGATCCACCAATAAAGCCCCTCTGTATTGGGTGGACTGAAACACTGCATTAAAGAACTCATTAAAAAAAAAACTCATTATAGTCTCTTCCAAGAACACAAGATGATCTCAACACAAATTTTGGTAGCCAACATGTTACAGTACTCAGGAATATCTTGTTTTCTCATGGAAAGTATGTTGACAAAGTTATCATTAATAAGCAAATTTCCTAACACACAGATATAAATGACCATTACAATATAAGAACATCCATTAATTTGTCCTTATTATTTCCAGTGACTTTAAATATAAAATCTAATTATACAAGGAAAAACTCCCTTGCCCTATTTAACCCTGTGTACCAAACACTATAAGTGCTGAAAATGAGAAACATTTTCAGAAATTTCCTATTGAAAATCTTGGCTGCAACTTAGCATTAGTGAAAGAGAGAAAAGAAAAGAAAGGAAAAGACAAATTTCTCAGAGGTTTTTTTGATGTTTCAACATGATGCCAAAAAAAAAAAAAAAAATTACTGAATAAAAGTAGCCAAGAAGGGAATCAAACATTTATGATATATTTATTATTTTTATGATCAAAGTGCAATGATTTTTAAATTTTCTTAAACAAATAACTATGAAAAAAGTATTCAAGAAAATAAAATACAAATGGGAACTTTAACCATTAAATTGCTTCTTCTAATTTACCCTACCCCTACATTTAGTATAGATAACAAACAAAAACTTTGAAGTGTTAACTAAAATGAGAACTGAATTGTTTTAGCATAAATCTAGCACATGTGTGTCAAAGTTCCACCACTTGGAATTTTATCAAGCTCCATACAATCATAAACATCACATCACAGAGTACAAGGAACACAAGCCATTAGAAGCGGTCCTTGCCCCATACCCTCAGATTATATCAGAATAAAGCTGATAATTCTGCCAGGCTCTCAGAACCCTCAGGACCCCCAACCCAACTCTTGGAAGCAAAGAGTGTGCCCTGTCATACAACTTTGTACAAATTATAATAAAACAAAGCCTAAACTTTCTTACCCTTCTATAGCAAATGGTCAGTTATTTGCTAAATACTAAAACATTGGTAGGAATCCGTTTTATGAGTTTGTTTACCAAGCACATTGTGCAAGGACTGACTACACAGAGTTCCTTTGAAATTTGGTCCACAAATTCACTTAACAGATTGGAAATTTAAAACCTGCAAGAAAACAGGAAGTGGGAGTCCCTAATCCTAACATGTTGTAATTACTAAACATGCATATTTAAAAAGTCTTGCTCACAGAAGGCACAGACTATAAAAGGGATTTTTTTGAATAAAAACAAAGGACTAGCTGATACCCTTCTTTGTTTTGTGAGCACCATAACTAAGATTAAGTTAAACCTGAATTCACTGTCTAGTCCTGTGACCAAAACAAACAAAGAATTTAATTTGTCTTTAACTAAATACTTTCCAGCCATTAATCTGAGATGTAATTTTGAAAGATTAAAATTGCCTTCAAAAGGGTTTGTGATAGCAGCTATCAAAGCAATATTCAAGCATGATTTCAAGGAGGCCTTCAGGTTTAGAGTTAGCCTTCTTTGTCAAAAATTTTCACAACTTCATCAAAAACCTGTAAAGGAAAATAGAATTTTAAATGAAGATATTATTAAAATACCATATAGCTAAATTTCTGTTAAAAATAGTCAACTTTATATAAATTTTCAAATCGTAATTTCTTAGTTTCATCTATTTCACTTCAGACATAAATAACTTATATAACATTACAAATGTGTGGCGTTCAATTTTACTAGTGTTTTTAGAATAAAACATTTCTTGCTAGGCTACCAAAAATTTTACAAAATGTAAACTGAACTGGCTCATCTTCTTAATTCTGATTCTAAAACACTAAGCCTTCTCAGGCATTATTCATGTCTACAGGAAGCGGCAATGAATTAAAAAAGATTCACCAAATCTTCTTCCTCTAGATCTTTCTTTTCTATTTTAATATAAAAGGAAGGAGATTCAAGAAATCAGAGAAAGGGAATTAGGTGAATTAAGAGGTGCAAGAAATATCTGCCGGCCACCATGGACTTGCAAACTACAATTTAGAGATCACTGCCTCACTGAAGGAAGAGAAGTGATGAGTCATGGAAACACGGCCGCTCTGGGCTGTTTGGGATGGAACAGAAGAAGCATCTGGGGCTCCTGAGCTAGATGACCTGCCATTCACATTGCAGATTTAAAAAATGAACATGAGCCAAATCACAGTACAGTACTCAAAATGCCAATTTTCCAGTGCTTGGGAAAAGAGGTTTGGAATTAATAAACCACTCACTTCTCAGGAAAAGTCTGAAGTTATAAAACCCATTTCAGACTCTGACATTCAAAAAGGAGAAAAAACTAATTCTTCATTTAGTCTCAAATGTCTTGAAAACTAACTAATCTGTCACAGTATTTCTTTTTCTCCTGCCTACCCCAAAAGGAACAAACACACTTTTACGTGACTTCTTTTTCCCCTCAAAGGCAGGCAAGGGATACTCACTTCATCAACAGATTTAGAAGCATCTATTTTCTTGACTTTCCCCATTTCTTCATATAAGTCAATAATTGGCTTTGTTGACTGAAGATAAGTCTGAATTCTGTAAAAGAAACGAATATTGCAGTGTTCTAGGTAAACATCCTTTGTCCTCTGTGTTATAGGCCAGTTCAGAGAACAGCACCAAAACTGACACCGCTGACTCACTCATCAGCTCCTTACAGAAGCCAGCTCACATACTTCAGCATGTTATTTTCTTCTTCTGGACCAAAATGGGGCAGGACTTAATGCGACACTCAGGTTACACACTGGGGTTTAGAGGGGTCATATGCAAAGTACCTCTTTTCCAAGCTCTCTCTGTTGTCATCACTCCTGCCACTACTCTTTCCCCTCTCAAGACATCGCTCAATACAGATCTACAAAGAGATACACAAAGTTACTTCAAAAATAGTGAATTTGACATTCTCTTAACCTGAAAAGAAAAATAAAGTTCTAAGAGATTACAAAAAGAACCCCACATTAAACTGAATATGTCTAATTCATTAATCAACATGTAAAGTTCTTTTAAATTTAAACATGTGGTTCAACTTATATAAACTAGGTTAAATAAGTACAGAGCATAGTAAGAACTCATTCATGACTCAGTTTTTCCTGTGTGTATTTTTTTCAAACCGCAATAAAAAGAAGATCAGTATGTGTCTGGTTCCATCTCGGATATGTTATTAACTTATTAGGTATGAATTATATGCTTCACTCAAACCTGGTTCCATTTTCGCTTACTTTTTGATAATTCTATAAATATCCAAATGTTTAAGAGTCAACATATTTGCATTTGAATGAGGCATCCCTTGTTAATTGTGAATAAACATTCCTTAGTTATAAAGCTGTGGTAACATTCTAAAGTTAACTTTGAAGAATAAGTGAAAACATATTTTTGGGGATTGGAAGAAGAGAGCAACATTTTACAACTCACAGGCTGCAGCAAGTCCAGCAGAGGAACATTTGCAACTCAGCCTAAGAATAGCCAGCTTCTTTCAAGGCACCACTTTAGATTCTTATGCACTCAGGCTGTTGGCATTAACTTAATGAAATTTATATTACAGCAGCTGTCAAGAGTCAGGTCTTTTAATTAAATGGTTCCGAGAAATCCATTTAGTTATCCAAAGGTATCTCTGCGTATGTTATGAGGAATGCCAGAAAGAAAAAGAACACTTTCTTGCCTCTTTCCAGATCATTTTACTCATAGAAAACAAATTAGGCTATCTACATTTCTTTTTTTCTTTTTTTTTTTTTTTTTTTTGACAGGCAGAGTGGACAGTGAGAGAGAGAGAGAGAGACAGAGAGAAAGGTCTTCTTTTTGCCGTTGGTTCACCCTCCACTGGCTGCCGCGGCCGGCGCACCGCGCTGATCCGATGGCAGGAGCCAGGTGCTTCTCCTGGTCTCCCATGGGGTGCAGGGCCCAAGCACCTGGGCCATCCTCCACTGCACTCCCTGGCCACAGCAGAGAGCTGGCCTGGAAGAGGGGCAACCAGGAAAGAACCCGGTGCCCCGACCGGGACTAGAACCGGGTGTGCCGGCGCCACAAGGCGGAGGATTAGCCTAGTGAGCCCCAGCGCCAGCCTTACATTTCTTTAAGATAGAAAGTTTACCAACTTCCCAGAAATGTGTTTCTTTTCCAATAAACAATATCCTAAGGCAAGATACTCTCTGATAACAGTGCATCCTTAAGAAAATGATTTGGTTTCATTATCTAACATTATTGTGCACATCAATACCTACTTTTAAATGATTCTTATTTTAAAAATAAAGCAACTTTTAAATCTACAAGGTTTCTGATGCCAAATAGTTTTAAATACTCCAACAGAAAGAAGTGCTGCTGTGTCCATCCAATCTATCAATTCAAGAAAATCACTTTGCTTTTCTAACAGTTGATCCTCAGTCGTTTAAAGTCTATGTGGGCAGATGAAGATTTTCATTACCTCATCATTACAGTCAAAAAACAGAACAAAAGATACATCTGCTTTCCCATCCATAGTCTTGTTCCAACCTTGAAGGTTGTCTTGATTTCTTGGAAATCCATCAATTAAGAATTTGTTCTTCTGAGCATTGGCAGCCATGGTCTGATCCATTTCCTAAAGGAAAAAGAAATCTCAGGTTCAACACTAGCAAAACAAGGTTTTGGTTAAGCAAGGTTGTATTTAGATGAGTGTTTGTTTTACAAGTATTATTATTCTTTAAGCCACAAGTCAAGAGTGAAAGATGCACAGGAAAAAAGTAGACAAGAAATAAATAAGTCAATGATGGGATTATGGATATGTGCTCCTCTCATACTGTACACACATGCAACTTTTTCTGTAGTTTCCAAAATTTCTATAGTAAGCATATACAACAACTTCCACATACACACAAACATTCACAAGATTATGAGTAAACAATCAGTAGTAATAAAAGGAAACTAATCACTAATCAATATTTTTGCCTCATAAACTGAGACCCTGATACTTTTCTTTGCCCTTCCCAAGTCACTTAGCTGTATTAGGAAGTAAGCTGCTTCTACAAGTACTCAGTTCTGCTATAATTCAAGTCTAACAGCAAAATGTTTTGGACAAATATAAAGAAAATTGTTAGTACTAATTTAGTGTAGGATTAATTATTTATTTTTAAAGATTTATTTAAAAAGCAGAGTCACACAGAGGGAGAGACAGGGAGATCTTCTATTCACTGGTACATGCCCAAATGTCCACAACAGCTGGGCCTGGACCAGGCTGAAGCCAGAATCCTGGAATTCCATCCTAGTCTCTCATATTGACAGTGGGATATTTGGGACATCTGTTGCCTTCCCAGGCAAATCAGCAGGAATCTGGATTGGAAGAAGAGTAGCTGGGACCCGAACCGGCACTCCAATGTTGGATGCCAACAACGTTGGCTACAAGCTGCAACTTAACCTCTGCACCATGATGCCCACCATGACCACCTCCTATATGCTTTTTTTTTTTTTTTTTTAAACTGGAGCTAATTAAACCTAAATCCCACTAGTTGCCCCCAAACAGGTAGCAATTTCAGGAAGATGTCAAGAATAACATATTCCACTAACCTCTTTGAAAGCCTGCAATATGAGAATATGTAAATGGGAGATGCAAATTGCAATCTCCAAGTCCTTGCCACTTCCACTCATCACAGGATTAGCACAGATGCTTGACTCTGACAAATCACAAATGAGCTTCTATTCCAAAGCATGCTGATATTACCCTCCGTGCACAAGCTTTACTGGCTCATGAGACAGAGCAATGGCTGTCAGGACCCCTGATTACTTTATCTGAGGGTTGGCTTTATCTCAGTATCTAGTTTTCCCTCTAATAATCACCAAATGCTTTGGACCCCACTGACAGGAGTAGAAAACATCAGAAGAAGGCACACCAATGTTATAGTCACTCAACACACATTCAAGGCCTACTATTAAGGAACATGAAGAGTGGGGTCATGGCTCTTGTCCCTGGGGAGCCTGCAGTCCACTGAGTGACAAATAAGTACACACAGATGTGTTAAGTTCTATGATGAGGCATGTAAATGGTGCCGTGACAAAACAACGAAGTGCAAAATGCCTGAGAAACTGCCAGAGACCTTTATCAAAGAGGTGGCCACAGATGAAACCTAAATATAAATGGCAAGCAAGTCAGGAATCAGTGTTTCCTCTAAAGCAGGAGTAGGGAATCTTTTTTCTACAAAGGACCATTTGGATATTTATACCATTATCATGGGCCATACAAAATTAACAACTTAAAAATTAGCCTGTTATAGACTTATTGAATTTCAAATCCCATCTGCAGTTGCCTTGGCAAGGCCAGACCTGATTTTGTGAGCATAATGTGGCTCCTGGAGGGTGGAAAGATGTATTATGGCTCAGAAATGGGAAAACAGGGGCAAGCACTGTGGCGTAGTGGGTAAAGCTTTCGCCTGCAGTGCTAACATCCCATATGAGTGCTGGTTCGAGACCCGGCTGCTCCACTTCTGATCCAGCTCTCTGCTATGGCCTGGGAAAGCAATAAAAAGATGGCCCAAGTCCTTGGGCCCCTGCTCCCAAGTGGGAGACCCAGAAGAAGCTCCTGGCTCCTGGCTTCGGATCAGCCCAGCTCCAGCCGTTGCAGCCAACTGGGGAGTGAACCAGTGGATGGAAGACTCTCTCTCTCTCTCTCTCTCTCTCTCTCTCTCTCTGCCTCTGCCTCTCTGTAACTCTGCCTTTCAAATAAATAAATAAATCTTAAAAACAAAAAAGAAATGGGAGAACATAACAGCAGCATTGATGAATCTGAAGTAAGCTGAATCTTAGGACATGTGAAGAAAGTGGTGGGAGATATGATAGGAAAGAAAACAGGGGCAAGACTAATGAAGAAAGTCTTAAGCCACATAAAGGATTTTTTGAATTTTATTACAGAAGCAATGTAAGATCATTTATGAATTTTAAGTAAGATAATAACAGGGTTATATTGCCTTTTAGGAAAAAAGAAGATTGTAACTATACCAAGTATGATGAATTAGAAGGGACAAGGATGGATTAAAGGCTAAACGACTAATTAGGAGGTTCTACTGATGGTAAAAGTAAGAAAAAAGAGGAGGCAGACGTCTGGCCCAGCAGTTAAGATGCCACATGGAGAGACTTCATTCCATATCAGAGCCTGGATTCAAGTCCTGGCTCCACTCCTGATTCTCACTCCCTGCTAATGTGCACCCTGGGAGGTAGCAGGTGACGGCACAAGTTGCTGTGTCCCTGCCACCTCTGTGAGATTGCTGGATTAAGTTCTTAGTTTCCAGCTCCTGGATTCTGACTTTAGCCCTGGCTGTTGCCCACATTTTGGGGAGGGACCCAGCAAATGCAAGATCTGTCTCTCTCTGTCACTCCGCCTTTCAAATAAGTAAAAATTCAATTAAAAAAAAAAAAAGAGAAAGAATAAGAATGCTTACAAAAACAAACCAAAAAAAAAAAAAAAAAAAAAGAGAGAGGGAAAGAGAAGAAAAGGGGGATAAAGAAGAAAGGGAGAATAAGTGAATGTTGAGAAGGAAAAGCCACGTGCATACATATGAACGTTAGGTTGAGTTATAGCTGTTCCTAGACCAAGGCAGGAAAGCCTTGCTACTATCCAATTTCTCCCCAGGTGAAAGTACAGTTTCCAGTTCTGCCACGCTCCAAGTCCATGACCATCTTCTACTAGCAAGAAAATCTCATTACTTAAAATGAAAGGTAGATTAAATTTCTGTTTCCTTGCTGGTTTGAATTGGTTTGTGTTCAGATTCCTTACCCGCTTTAATAAACTAATGGTTATCTCGACAGGCACAATCTTCCCCTCTTTAATGTACTTTTCAATGAGTTCACCATACTGTGAATCTGGATTCTTCCTTTCATCACGAAGCAGTTCTCCTGCAGAAAGGTGCGTGTAGCCATATTTCTGAAACAAAAATCACATAGGGAAAAATCATAATTTATTCAATTCAGGGCTTGCTTATAAAATAATAAAGAAAAAATGTAAAGAAATTTACTAGGGTCCAGTGTCGTAGCTGCCTGCAACATTAGCTTCCCATATGGGTGCTGGTTCATGTGTTGGCTGTCACATGAGAGACCTGGAAGAAGCTCCTGGCTTCCACCTGGCCCAGTGCTGGCTGTTGCGGTCACCTGGTGAGTGAACCAGTGGATGGAAGATCTCTGTCTCTCCCTCTCTCTCTGTTAACTCTTTCGAAATAAATCTTTAAAAAAATTTAATATAGTCCAGCTTGCTCAATAAATACCTATATCCTTTATAACTATAATGTTCACATACCACAAAATTATGTCAAAATTTATCTAACTATTCAAGGCCTTAACACCTCACTATATTCCTTCACAAACACAATCAAAGTTTAAATAGTAATACTGTTCAAAGAAACATTTAAAGCTATACCAAAACCCACAAAATTTTAACCATAGTTTGCTGTACCAAACTTCTACAAAATCTCTTTAAAAAGATGTTATTTACCTATTTTTGTAAAATAGAGGGACAGAAAAATGGAGGGAGAGAGGGAAAGATAAAGATTTTTCATTTTCTGGTTCATTCCCCAAATGCCTACAACATCTAGGGCTGGGCCAGGCTGAAGTCAGGAGCCAGGAACTCCATCCAGGTGTTCTGCATGGGTGGCAGGGGCCCATGTATATAGGCCACCATTAGCAAGAAGCTGGATCCGTGAAGAGGAGCTGGTACTCAAACCAGGCACCTAATATGGAATGCAGGCATCCCAAGGGATGGCTCAACTCACTGACCTGGACACAAGACCTGTCCAGGCAATATAACCTTACTTTTTAAAATATTTATTTATTCCTTTGAAAGGCAGATTTACAGAGAGGGAGAGATAGATAAGAGAGAGTAAGAGAGATAAAGAAAGAGCGCGTACACATGAGTGTGTGAGCGAGAGCACGCTTCCATCCACTAGTTCACTCCACAAACGATGAAAATGACTAGGGTTGGGACAGGCTGAAGCCAGAAGCCTGGAACTCCATCTAGGTCTCCCACATGGGTGGCTAGGGTCTAAGCACTTCAGCTATCTTCAGCTGCCTTCCTAGGCATATAAGCAGGGAGCTGGATAGGAAGTGGAGAGCCAGGACTTGAACTGCCTATCTGATGTACGATACTGTTGTTGCATGCAGATTGCTTAACCTGCCACACCACACTGCCCATGCCTGGCAATGTAATCTTTTCTTTAGATTTTTATTTTATTATGTTTATTTATTTGAAAGGCGGAGTTATAGAGAGAAGGGAAGAGACAGAGAAAGAGAGAGAGAAAGAGAGAAAGAGAGAAAGAGAGAAAGAGAGAGAGAGAGAGAGAGAGAGAGAGAGAGAGAACCTTCCTTCTACTGGTCACTCCCCAAATAGCCACAAAGGCCGAGGCTATGCCAGGCTGAAGCTAGGAGCCCAGAGCTTCTTCCAAGTCTCCCACGTGGTTGCAGGGGCCCAAGTACTTCGGCCATCTTCTGCTGCTTTTTCCAGGCACATTAGCAGGGAGCTGGATTGGAAGTGGAGCAGCTGATCTTGAACCGGGCCCCTATGGGATGTCAACCCACTAGGCCACAATGCCAGGCCCAGGTAATGTAAGCTTATGGGACCACAATGACTGACCAAGACATGGCTTAACAGTTTTGATATGAAAGTCAAACAAGGAGATTTGATATAACAGATATGAATATCATATGAAAGGTCAGTAGAATATTTATTATGATTGCAATGATCATTATTAAGGACTTACAATAATATACTGGGTCAAGGTATAGGGTTATAACTAAGCCAAGTCCCACTAGATGTAATGCTATTGTACTGCCACTTCTCCCTGAGTGGAATGATCTAAGAAATAATTCTGAATAATGAAAAGCTTCCTCCACATGAAATTATATACTTTTTAAAATTAAATTCTTGGGGCTGGCACTGTGGCATAGTGGGTAAAGCTGTGGCCTGCAGTGCCGGCATCCCATATGGGCGCTGGTTCAAGCACCAGCTGCTCCACTTCCAATCCAGCTCTCTGCTATGGCCTGGGAAAAGCAGTAGAAGATGGCCCAAGTCATTGGGCCCCTGCACCCACATGGGAGACATGGAAGAAGCTCCTGGTTCCTGGCTTTGGATGGGCGCAGCTCCGGCTGTTGTGGCCAACTGGGGAGTGAACCAACAGATGGAAGACCTTTCTTTCTCTCTCTCTGCCTCTCCTTTTCTCTGTGTAACTCTGCCTTTCAAATAAATAAATAAATCTTAAAAAAATTAAATCCTAAGAACTATATAATCCGTTTTAAAATATTTTTTCTCTCAAAGAGAGAACTATAGTCAATGCTCAGTTACATCACCCATCTCATCCCAAATTCTTTTTTTTTTTTTTTTGACAGGCAGAGTTAGACAGTGAGAGAGAGAGACAGAGAGAAAGGTCTTCCTTCCGTTGGTTCACCCCTTAAATGGCTGCTACGGCCGGCACACTGTGCCAATCCGAAGCCAGGAGCCAGGTGCTTCTTCCTGGTCTCCCATGCGGGTGCAGGGCCCAAGGACTTGGCCATCCTCCACTGCCTTCCTAGGCCACAGCAGAGAGCTGGACTGGAAGAGGAGCAACTGGGACAGAATCTGGCACCTCAACCGGGACTAAAACCCTGGGGTGCTGGCGCCGCAGGCGTAGGATTAGCCAAGTGAGCCACAGCGCCAGCCCTCATCCCAAATTCTTACAACTCCCTCAATAGATTTTCATTTTATCTAAGTATACAATAAATAATCGATAAATGTTATCTTTCATTTCAAGGAGTCAACCCACACTGCCACCTTTTGTAAGCTGTTTCAGTTTCACATTTATACAAAAAAAAAAAAAAAAAAGACTCTGAAAAAGACCCAGGTTATGGTACATTTTCTTTTTTTTTCTGAATGGTAGAAGCCATACATTCTTTACCCCTAAATTTCCCCAAATTGCTAGTTAAACTTGTTCTTTTTTTTTTTTTTTTTTTTTTTTTTTAACAGGCAGAGTGGACAGTGAGAGAGAGAGACAGAGAGAAAGGTCTTCCTTTGCCGTTGGTTCACCCTCCAATGGCTGCCACGGCCGGCGCGCTGCGGCTGGCGCACCGCGCTGATCCGATGGCAGGAGCCAGGAGCCAGGTGCTTTTCCTGGTCTCCCATGGGGTGCAGGGCCCAAGCACCTGGGCCATCCTCCACTGCACTCCCGGGCCACAGCAGAGAGCTGGCCTGGAAGAGGGGCAACTGGGACAGAATCTGGCGCCCCGACCGGGACTAGAACCCGGTGTGCCGGCGCCGCTAGGTGGAGGATTAGCCTAGTGAGCCGCGGCGCTGGCCATTAAACTTGTTCTTGATGATTAAATCGCGAGCTAGCAGTAAGGTGGTCAGAAAAGGAAAACAACACTCTAGTTTACCTGCTTACTAACACCAGGTATAAAGTTTGATGAGAATAAACCAAAACCACAAATTCATGTCTATCTCTTAGTTATATACGCCCTCCCATCAGAAGAAATCATTAGGGGTCAGCATTGTGGCATAGCAGGTTTAAGCCACTGCCTGCAACGCCAGCATCTCATATGGGTACTAGTTCAATTTCTGGCTGCTCCACTTCCAATTCAATTCCCCACTAATGTGCCTGGGAAAGCAGCAGATGATCCAAGTGATTGGTCTCCTGCACCCACCAGGGAGACCTGGATGGAGCTCCTGGTTCCTGGCTTCAGCCTGGCCCAGCCCTGATCATTGCAGTCATTTGGAAAGTGAACCAGCAAATGGAAGATCTCTTTCTCTCTCCCTTTCTCTCTGTAAGTCTGCCTTTCAAATAAATAATTTTTTAAAAGAAATGATCTAAAGTGTATTTAATTACTCTAATAGTTTTCTTTTAAAAAATCCTATCACAGAAAATAGAAATAAATACAAAGCTGCTTAATAATTTAAACCATTATTTTAAAATAATTTCCATACCATTTATAAATGTCTACTTTGCTCATCCAGTATAAGAAAACTACTCTAAAGTTGGGTACAAAAATGACCTCACAAAAAATGAGGTGTGACCTACTTTCCCATTTACTATGTATAATTCTCAAAAATCATTTTGCAACTGCCGTCCACAAAATGTTATAGCAGCTTCATCTCCCACTGTTTATCTTGGCTCCTACTTAGAAGTCTCTCCTTGCCGGATGCTCTACTCTGGTCTAGAGATTATAACATACGGTAATATTGAATAAATGCAGAGACAAACAGTACTAAACAATGGCAAACACTCAGTGAAATACCAACAATACAGATGGCTCTGTAATGCTCTGCTGTATGAAAAACACATACATTTAGAAGCCTAACTAGTAATTTAGAAATTAGTACACTCACTGTTTGCTTCTTGACGTTGGAGAGCTCAAATTTGCAAGCTTTATATTGCATTAAAGTGGGGCTTGGCATTATTTCACTCTTTCAAAAGAAAAACTAGTTATAAATTGTAGATAAATACAAATGACATTTAAAAAATAAATTTGTTTAAATTTGTCAAGAAGAGAAAACCACCTGACCTGAAAAATCCTAACAAGGAAATTACAATCATGTCAAACCTATACATGTGTTTCTCAATTTGTCATCCACATTCCATTTTTCAAATTCTCTATTTAATCAGTTACATTTTTATATTTTTCTTAGGGATTATGCTGAAGTTTTCTCCTGCCACAGAGTTCAACGACAAAAGAGAAACTATCACATCCTAGTTATTATGGTGTTTTAATCATAGCTAGGCTTTAGAGAGCATATTTCCAAAGCATTCTGCTATCATTCAGTTGTCTCTGATGCCAATTTTGAGGAAAGCAAAAATGCATATTTTCTAGCCGTAACCAAAACTTTTTCACGTTCTCTGAAGTTTCCTAGCAATTAAAACCTGGTGGGTCACTAACTACAGTCTTAAGAACAACACTCAAAACCACAGC